AATATATGTACATCATGGGTTAAATATGAAATACCAACATTTTCACATAGTCTATCATGAAAGTGTTTTCATATCTTTCAATACTCTTGAGAAAGAAAGTTTTAATAATTCTCTATTAACCCATAATGTACCATATTTTTAAAACCTATTTCCAACAGATAAACTTTTAGATTCTCTCCTGTAGGGACATGTTCATTGATTACTTTCTTCCAGAAAGTTTGATCTGGGGGATAAATGTATGTACTAAAGTTATAAAGGATAGTGGAGTAGAGGAGAAGTGGGATCAAGTCATATCATTCAACCACTTTCATTCATGTCTGATTTTTCAGTTTCTCAACCAAAAAATACTAAGCAAACAAGTTCCTTAGAATCATAGCATCTGTCTATAAATTACAAAGGAAACAACATCACTCAGCAACAGCTGCCTGTTATGTATTCCTCTGCTGAAATGAGAGGACTTGGTAAAGACTAGAGTCCAGTGGAGAAGTGAGTCCTCTTTTGCCAATATTTGTAGAGAATAAGTTAGATTATCTCTTCAGGTCTCTTCTACTGCTGTGTCCCTCCAAGGAGTTAGAAGCCAAGAGGAGGGGATCTTTACATAATACAGACAAGTGAATCGTTTCTTTCCAGTTGTAACTTTAAGGAAACAAAGAACAAAGTTTTGGAAAGTTTTTATATGAATTCATTAGTTTAAATATGCTATCTCACTGTGTTCTCAGTCACTGGTCTCTCCATTAGACTGTAGAAAATAATAAAACTCATATTCACAATTATTTTTATGTCATCTCCTTACATTCTCTACTTTAGCATACCTTCCAAATATGTATGAAATATTCATGCACCAGTACATATAAATAATTTATACACACATATATGCTAATAGTTTCTAAACCAATTGGGTAAGCAATCAAGAAAGTATAGAGAACACTGCTTCAGATTTCTGTTATTGATGGAGTTTGGAGAATTATTGGGGCTAGAAACCTATGAAGTACAGATTGAGTATCAGTTTGGTCTAAGTATGGGAGGCATTGATTGGGAAGGTAAATAGAGCCCCAAGTTTGGTCAAGCCTACCATATAGGTAATTGAACATAGAAAGGTGATTGAACCAAAAGGTTTAGAGCATCTGAGAAAAGCAAGCATCCAGGTTATGTTGAGTTACAATAAAGTGGGTATTGTTTTATGGAACACTTACAGATATGGCCTCAGGGGTCATACATCTAGGACACCTAAGAGGCTGTGTTGAGATAGGTGAGAGTCTAGGAGCCTCCCAAGAACACTTGCTTGACCTGCCCAATAGCCTCATCCTAGGCAATAACTGAAAGGTCTTCACCATACTGGGACATAAGAGGGATGGGTTTCAATAGGGAATAAGCAGAGGGAGACCTGACTGTGAATGAAATCCTAGAAGCATGAAAATGAACACTGAGAGAAATAGCCAAAAGTAAGGTAGGCGCATCCTGACATTAAATTTTCCTCACATTTTGCAGTATCAATTCTTATAAATACTATATTTAATCCATAGCTTATTCTGGCATTACTGGATATCTTAGGACAGAAGATTATTTTTAAGATACTGAATTTTCTCTGCCTCCCCCAAATGAAAAATAAACATACAATAGGAAAAAAAAATTGTTTAAAAGTACTTATTTTAGCTTGTATGCATCTTTAAGTATGTGACTTAAGGAGCATGTAAGTTGTAAAAATAAGTTATTTTTATCTGGCCATTTTAAATGTTCATCTCAAGTTAAAACTACACTCTTTCCAAAAAAAAAAAAAAAAAAAATCCCCTTCCCAATACATTTTGTAGGTAAGATGTATATGTTACCTAATGTGGACCCAATCCACCCACAGTCAATGGTGAAGACTGCAGGACTGAGTGGGAACAACAAAATGGCAGAGAACATAAGTTGGCCACTGATGAGGACATTGACAGCAGAAGGACATCTAGTGCCAGCACTGATGATTGCCAAGGAAACAGTGGCAAGGTGACACAAAGGATAGTGAAGTGCTCATTGTTGTCTGCCCCCCGGCCCCTATAAAAATGTGATTCCTCAAGAGAGGAAGGCTACATCCCTGTCCTACCAGGACAAATGCTCACTTATTCTCCTTAGTGGGGATGGGGGCATCTGGGGGCCACTCACTGTTTCTGAAGGCTGCTTTCCAAATATATGAGATGTTGCCCTTGAATTCTGACAGAACTTGCCTCATGCCTCTTCAAAATATGTTCTCTCAGCTCAAAAGTTTGACAAGATTAAATATCCAGCGCTATGGAAACATCCTACTTTGGATAACACCTTCTAAGATAGTTAACAATTCTAGTTTGTTTGGACACTTCCCCCCTACCACTACACCCCATCACTGCACACACATCAGAAGTTAGGAAAATTCATCTTTCTCCTTAATCCACCCCTTCTTACCAGTCAAATGTCAAGTTGACTTAGCATCAATGCCTAGATTTCTGATTGTTACCTATCCTTAATCCCATAACAGCTGCATCTCAGTGGTCAAATGAAATCCATTTATTTTATGTATGACTTGTGGATCTTCTGGGGTGGAAAAAATATTTGAAAATAATTCTTACTTTAGAGCAATTGGTAATAATTAGCAATTGGTAATAATAAGGCTAATGGGCATTCATCAGCTGTTACAAGGCACCATTCCTGTCCTATGCATTATTCATTTATGCAAACTATTGTAAAGGTAGCAAACTCACTATACAACTGGACTGGAAAAATCTCTTGCCTCAAGATTACATTGGTATGCACGTTTCTGAGGTTTGGTTCTGTTTAACATTTTCATCAGTGACCTGCTTAAAAGAGCAGAGAGCAAACTCATTAAGTTCCTCGATGGGAGGGATGGTCAGAACCTTAGGGAATAGGCCTAGACTATCCCCGGCTCTGGCCAAATTAGCAAAACTGTCAGAGTCAAATATTTTCATCAGGGATAGGCAGAGAAAAGAAGCTGCCCAAATGTAAGCCGAGCAGTAACAACTTATAGGAGCAGAACTGAAAACAATATAGCTGCAAACACTGACTTGTAGCAGGAAATGAATTTACCCAGTGGAACCACTAGTGTTCTTTGGGGCCTTTGAACCCCTTTAAAATGGATTCAGATCCCTAATCCATGGAAGTGTAAATCAAGCCCTCCCTCAAGAATTCTAAGAATTCCTGTGAACTTTTCTTTCTCAAGGAACTATTAGCTTCAGATTCCTAATTGCACTTAATTAGCCTGGTTTATGGTTCATTTCACAGTCCGGCTCTATATGCACCCTATAACATACCTTGTTGACCGAGACATAAAAACAATTTCCCTCCCATGAGCAAATCATGGCTTACTTGGAGGACCTGGCTACCTCCTTGGTTTTCATGGCCCTTGTTCAACCTTGCTGATTAAACTTCTACCCCCCAATAGGTTAGCAAGGTATTTTGATAAATATAGATGATTGTCTCCCTGAGAAGAACTCTGGGAAGAATACTTTAAGGTAAAAACAACATCTTGTTACCTAACAAAGGTAAGCTTGACAAAGGCATGAGCCCATAGTGTATTAGGCAGCGTTGGTACAGTTTTTCTGTAAAGCGACAGCAAATATTTTTTATCTCTGTGGCACCAACCCAACTCTGATGTAGCATGAACACATTCATACACACTGTAAACCAAGGGCATGGCCAGACTGGAGGCTGCAGCAGACCATAGTTTGCCAACTCCTGTTAGACTCAGTCTCAGAATCTGTGACTTGTGGGGAGACCTAACAGTCATCTTATCCAACAAGATCATTTTACATCTGCAGAAACCAGGACCCAGAAGGCACAGCAATGTTTGTGAGTTCACAAGACACTGAAGCCAGGGTTAAAACTACAAACTAGAAATAGGTAACCCAGATCTCAGGCCAGTGCCCTTTGCACTGAATCATGACAAGGCTGTATCTAGAAGTTTCTGGGGGTCTTTACTTCAATGACAGAGCCTCTTCTAAGAATTTTCCCACTGTAACTTTCGGTGCTATGCATTGATCATATTACATGTAACACACAGCAGTGCTGACTTACAATTTCCCTTAAAGGATCCAAGAAGAATGTTTGGGTGAGGGCTGACTATGACTAAGGGGCAAAACTAGGCACAAAGTTCAAAAGAGGTATTTTATTTACTTTAAATAAAGTAAAAGGTGACAAAAAATGTTCCTGTACCAAGAGAAGCAAATTTTAATGAGGAGCAGTTGTTTCAGAATGAGAAGAACCTGCTAGTATGTAGTTCACAGAAAGGACTTGCTGGGGATAACTCTGCTACTCACAATCGCAGGTCAGAGGAAGCCATAGAAATTCCTTAATAATTGAATCTGGATGTTGGCATCTTTCAGAGAGGGTTAGGAAGGAGGAAATAAACTGAGTTCATCTTTCTCTCTCTTGAAGCCCCTGGCAGCAGGAAAGTCCTTCTCTGAGCCAGCAGGGACACACATTGGGTCATAGTGCTTAATGAAGAGTTTCTTTAAGGGGTTTATGAAGTGCAGAGCTCCACGGACACCGTATGGGAGAAAAGTAACTGTGCCGATATGAAAGGAGCCTCCTGATGACACTCCCTCCCACTGGCAGGCATTGACAGAATGTGTGGAAAACCCAGCATTCAGGGTCAGAAGTTCAGAACCCCTTCCAAGCCTGTGTGGACATGCCATCTGATGCCTCTACCTCAGAGGAGGTCATAACCTTCTCAGAGTGCATGGGTGTTGACCTGCAAGTTGAGGATCCAGTAGTGTGGGCCTATTTTCCCTTGAAAGTCAGGGCCCAGTTCTTACGAAAATTCTTATTTTACTAGCTTTGATAAAGATAAGCCATAGTGTACATCTTGTTGTTAATTAAAAATGGTACACTCTGTTCCAATACCATTTCTGGATCGTACATTTCATGAAACTATCCCAGAAGATTGTGTCTCAAGCCACAACTTTTCCAAAGTCCATTTTCCAAATGATGAACACTTGGTGATTATTTTTCATTATTATGCTTTTTTCTAGATGATCCAGGAATGTGCACGTCATGCGCTACGGGATATTACATGTAAGTCTGCCCTTCTTTTTCAGGGGCTAACATTTCTTCAGTTTAAGCATTACTGACTTAATCTTAAATCCAGTGATTAAAGCAATGAGGCCATGCAGCCTGAAGCAACTCTGCCCTGTGAAGCTATTAACAAACAATTCTTGGATTTAGCAATAAGAATCCAGCTGTTTCCTTGCCTCGAAAGGAGGCCTTCTCTTTCTCGGTCCTGGAAATCACCCAGCCTGACACTGGTGTCTAGGAATCTTGCCATGGGTTACCGAGATTCAGACCTTGCTGTTTATGGACAGATCTTAATAATATATACTCCCTCCCCCGCAAGCTGTTTCCAAATGTCTGCATGGAGACCTGGTACTTAACAGGAGCTGAAGATCCAGGCTAAAACCAGGGCTACATGAGCTCTCAGTCACAGCCTGAGGCATGAGAGACACAGACCAAGAGGCTCAACAGAGCACAGGTGACATTCACCCCCAAGTTCTTTAGCAAAATCTATAAAATCAAAGATCATCCATTTCAAATCCACCTTCCCCTCCTATTCTAGTCTCCCTTCAGAGTACATTAGTGACTGTCCTGGAGGAAAAACTAAGAAAAGAAGGGAGCAGAAAAGATCTAAATAATGCATAGGCTGCTTAATTCCTCCCTGTCCTCCTATGTGCTGGGAAGTTTTGTGATAAACTCTCACATGCCACGTCTCTCCACCTTTCAATGGTATTTTGTTATTCTCCAGAAGGGAAGAAAACTGCCTAAAGCTCAGGGAGGCGATGGGGTGCCTCACATTGAACCACAAACTAGCAGGGTCTAGATAATGGGGTGTGCCATCTCAATTTTGGTGACTGACTTCTGTCAACTCAATGCCCTTCACCTCCATCAGATTTTAGGGACTCAAAATGTGGTGGTACATGGGAAGACATTAAAAGAAGAGAGGAGGGCCTCCCCTGGTGGCACAGCAGTTGAGTGCTGGGCTGCGAAGCTGCCCGCAGCCTCCGCAGTGCCGGTTCAATCCCCGGCCACCAGCGAGGGTCCCACATGGCGCAGCAGACCTCTCCTGTCACACCCGCTGCTCCCCTTAGCAGTGTATTTCGTCAGTCTGCCTGTTCTGTTCCCCGCTCTGGCAGATTCTCTCACCCTCCTGCGCTTCTGACTGTACCCAGTGCTTGTATAAATAAATAAATCTTTAAAATAAATAAATAAATAAAAGGAGAGAGGAGGAGGAGAGGGGAGGGGAAGGGAAGGGAAACCCAATAACCAGAAACGTGTTCAAAATCATCAGTTAGCCTTATCATTACTTAATCTCGTAGCTTTAATGCCTCTTTTCCAAGGCAGCCTATTATTCTCTATGTTGACATCACTGCACTCCTAACTGAGTGATTGAAATTATTGTTCCATTGAAACAGGAGAGGAGAGGTAAGAAGGCGCCCAGACTGGACTGCCAGAAAGTAGAGCAGATGACAGCAAATGAGCAGGAAGTGACCAGTCAGCATGTTTTGGGTTGACATTCACCCAGCACGCAGCCGGCACAGGGACTCCTGGCAAGGACAGACAGCAGAAAGGCAATGTGTCTTGATGAGGTCCTTTGGTTGAGGCTACAAAATATTCCCTGACTAGCCAAGGGAGGCCTTAAACTCAAATAAAGGATTAGCGATCATGAAGATGTGGATGAGGAAACCAGTCTCCATCCCTCTTATAAGCCACATTACTCCTGCCTACCCCGACCCTGGTGCTTTCCTCACTTGGACACAGGAACACAGTCCCTCTCCAGCACCTACTTCCTGCCACCTGAAGATGTCCTCTGTGGGGCTCGGGAGCCAGTGCTGCCGGCCTCTGCAGCTAACGTGCTCAGAGATGGGCACATTTCATAAAAGCCCTGGAGACACAGACACACTGAAAAAATGTGACGAGTCACACTAAGGGCAAAACAGGAGATATGTTTCAAGAAAACAAACTTATCACCCCTCGGTATATTTAGTAACTTTGAATACAGCTAACAACACTGTACAATAGAAGTTGTTAGGGATAGATGTAACCATTTCCTGTGATATCTCGTTGATTCTATGAAAGTCACCCAAGTTCAAAGGGCAGCTTCCCTCCTCTCCCCCTTCAATCAGCCTGCAATTCAGGGAGTCTGAATGACATTTTACCATGGAATAATAAGCAATACATGTTATGCAGTAATGATGAGAAAGGATAATATTTGTTAATCATTAATAATGAGAATAATGGATAAAATGTGTTATCCATGCTGTTAATATTAATAATCCAGCTACAGACATTTTGATAAGCTCTTTGAACTCAACCCTGTGCTGCTTCAGACCCTGCTGGTGCCATGTGGCAACAGCACACAAGCTGTCTGTTCAAACAGACCTTGGCTACAATCCCATTCCCACGGTTCACTACCTATGTCACTTCGAAAACTTAACCTTGGGACCCAGTTCCCTTAGCCAGAAATTAAAGATAAAGTGCTAGCTACCATATGGAGATTATGTGGAGGTTTTAATTAGCTAATAATTGATGCAGAGTCAGTATTCCTTTAAAAAAAATCTCAGTACACGGTTCCTTCTCCTCGGTTTCCTCCCAGCTGCCCTAGTAAAGGGTCCTTGGGGGTCTAGTGGGAGCAGCCAATGGCTCAGTTTGGGGGGCACACAACAAAGATGAAGTTTCTCCCTTGAAACCCAAATATTTACTCCTATTGGAGACAATGTATAGACATCTACCAGGAGGTTAAGTTCTGGTGATTAAAAGAAAATCGTCAGTGTAGCTCATGGCAAAACCCCAATTCTCCCTGCTAGGTTTGAAAACCACTGCTATAAAACCTGCCCTGAGAAGACCTACAGAGAAGAATCTGAATGCAAAGCCTGCGAGAGCAACTGTGGCAACTGTGACCAGAATGAGTGCTACTGGTGTGAAGAGGGCTTCTTTCTTCTGGGTAAGCCGGAAAATGACTCCATCCAACGAGAACAAGGCCCCAGGGCACCACCCATAATGAGAACACTCATTTAGTTGGTTTCAGAGTCTTCGTGTGCTGGTGTCTCTTGTCCAAAGAGGAATTTAGTTTGGTTTGAAAATAAACATTAGGCAGGTTCTTTCCTTCTGCTCTCATTACTGAAGCATAGTTCTTATTTCAATAATCTCAAAGAACCAATGGGAACTAGAGTGAATTGGGTGGTGGGGGAGAGTATGAAGGGGAGGCGCTGACACGAAATGCTTTGGAATTGCAGGCACCTGGTATATGCAGAACTATGATTCTTTCCTTGAGCTGTGATCCAAGATATATAGCCCTGTAAAAGTTAAACTTAAGATCCTTCATCTTAGGTTTTGGTTAATGCATTGACTTGGATAGAAATGGATGTTTAGGAAAGAAACACACTGAGTCTTCCAATTGAACAACTAATGGACCGATACGCTGGAATGTTTGCGGAAGAGTAGAGTCCATGATGATATGAATCTCTATACAGGGATTCATTTTACTTGTAGTCTCCCAAGACCTCAAGGATATAAAGCTCTTAACCCTTCGAGCTGATAGCCAATTTAAGTCCTCAGTTGAAAGAAGACCTAAAGTGTTAGATTCACTAAATCACATTTCCTGGTTGAAATAATCTCAAGCCATCTTGGTTTCTTTAAAAGCAAACTCAAGGGCCTCTCTGGTGACGCAGGGGTTAAAGCCAGCACTATCAAGCTATCACTAGCCACTGCAGCACAAGTTTGACCCCCTGCTGGCCAGGGAGGTGACCCACATGGCGCAGCAGGCCTCTCCTGTCTCACCCACCACTCCCCTCTGCAGTGTGTTTCAGTAGATCTGCCTGTTCTGCTCCCCACTCTGTCTCTGGTGAATCCTCTCAGCCCCCAGCACCTCTGGCCTACACCCCAGCTCTTGTATGCATAAATAAATAAATCTTTAAAAAAATAAATAAAAGAAAACTCAAATCCAAATGTTCCTGGGATTCGCTTTGGCTTGTTTAGAACTTGGTCTCGCACAGAACCCCATCCTATGCCAGCCAGGGTCCTGCCTTCATGCTTCTTTCTGTGTTCTTATGCAGGTGGCAGTTGCGTGAAGAACTGTGGCCCTGGTTTCTATGGGGACTCAGAGGTGGCAGAGTGTGAACCCTGTCACCGAGCCTGCGAGACCTGTGCCGGCCACGGCTACGACGAGTGTAGCAGCTGCCGAGAAGGACTGCAGCTGTGGCATGGGATGTGTGTGGTCTCCACCCAGACCCAGGTGGACAGCAAATTCTGGAATGGTATGTGTCTCCTGAGCGGGCGGGTGTCTAGCTGCCTGCTCCCCCTCCTTTTAACCCTTGCTTTGGGGGTATCTGAGAGACAGTACTGCTGAGCAGTGAAAGAAAAATCTGGAGTGAGAGTGAAGTTTAAAGCACTCTCAGGGCTTCTTAGCTGATCATGGAGAAGGCTGTGGTTGGCCTTTGGCCAGGACGGGAAAGCCAGAGGGCAAGTTACAAACGATCTGGACATTTGAGCAGAGCTGACCTGGGAGCATGTCAAGAGAGTCCTATCGAGACATTTTCTGAAAAATTGCAGGGTAGCTTCTATCACTTTCATGAATCTCTTTATTGTGGTAAAGGAAAACATTACTGGTGGGACAGGCTTCTCCAGCTAGACAAGGATGAACTGTTCTCAAGCACTGGAACTTAAATTGAAACAGCTGAGCTTTCTGGTTGGTTTATTAGAACCTGCCATTGTTGAAGCTTGCCTTCTAGAAGCTGCCCTCCCCAGCTGCAGACAATGAAAGTGGGAGGTTTTGGGGGAGAGAGGGAAGAAAGCACTCAGGAGGTTGGACTCTAACAGGGAAGACCTGCACAAACTGAGTCCTACCTGAGGCTTCAGAATTGGTCTCTCCACGTCAGAGCCTCAGTCATGGGCTTCCTTCAAGGGTAATTACAAACTTCCAGTGACCTCTCCATGTCTCGGGTGGTTAAAAAACAAAATTCTCCTCCAGCTGGAAAAATCTGACTCACATTCTACACAGAGACACTCACAAAAACAAGAGATGTTCTCCTTTTGATTTCGAGGCAATGATTTGTCAAAAAGGTCATCTCAGTGCAGAGCAGTGGCAGCTGAAAGGTCTGCTTAGCATGAGTCTTCTACAGGCTGCAGAGAGTGACAGATGTGGGAGAGGAGTGAAGGCTCCTGCTGGGTTTCAGAGGAAGGATGGCCATGGCTGCTTTCTGCTCCGAAGGCATTGCAAGAATCTTATAGAGCAGCTCGGAGACCATCACACACCCAGCAGCCAAAGGCCATGAAGAACACAGGGCTGATTTCAGAATCATAACTGGGATGAAAATCAGTCCAGATCGAACTATCTTCTGTGAATTATAGCTGAACCAAAATGCTGAAATCAAGTCTGTCTGGCATTCAGGCATTTAAGAGCCAGTGCAAGCCAAGAGGAAAATAATCTGGTGCTGTTTCTAGCTCAAGACATCTGCATTTTATCTGGCATCCAGATGATGAGAAGGTCCAGGGAGCCAAGGGTCAGAGCAGCCCTGGTTCCCCCAAATAATGACACGTCCCTTTCACTGGACTACGCACTTGGCACACAGAAGTCACGCTTTGATTGTTCCCCTCCGTCAAAGCACCACACCCACAACTCTACATTTTCTACTATCAAAATGTAGTGTTTTTCAAGAGAGGAAGAAATTAGTCCATTTGGGGATTTAGCACTAATAAGGGATTCGGGAAGCAGATGAGAACGTTTCTCATGGCTGGACAAAAGCAATAAAGTCAAGGAGATTGCTGCACTTTCCACTTCTATGATCCAGGAAATAAGACACGCAGACTAATAACCAAGAGAAAAAACTGTTAATTCACTGAACAGTGTAAGGGCCTAGCTCAGCCTCCCCAGCATAATTTAGGCACCACTGAAATGGAGAGTAAATGGGAAGTGTACTCCCGACAGCCCTGCAGGATCTGAACCAATGCCTACATCTATCTCCTGACATCTTTCCCTTGAAAAACAAGGCTGAGAGTGTAACAGGAGAGTGTTCCAGAGAATTAAGTACTAATTAGGCACACCTTGGAGATGATGGAAAGCAAACCGCAGCACCCTCGTTCCACTTGGAGGAAGCCATATAAACAAACGACAGAGTGTTTATGAGCGACTGTAACAGTCTAGGCGGTGCCAGCTAGGTGGTGGTGGTGTTATTGTTTTGGGTTTTTAAGTGCATATTCATATTCAAGTAGGAAAAGTAAGACTCAACAAACTTTAGTCCATTTCTTCACCCAGTGAAGTCAGTACAAAAAGGTCCTGCTTGCAACCAAAGACCACAGCTGACCCTACAAGTGTATGTCAGCAGGTGTTAGGGAAATACCCTTGAAATTAAAATCCAACTAGAGTTCACTAAACTCTTTAGCAAGGCAGCTAACCAGTGAGAACAGCAATCATGACAGAACCTTATTCTTTGTCAACTACCAATAGAATCCCTCCTACCTGAATCCAAGGATGGAGATCTCCAGATACATCACACTATGCATGCAGATTCGCAGGTCAAGACCAAGTAATGTCCAAATGTGGCTGTTCAATCTCTGTTCTTCCCACCAAATAGTCATATACAAAACATAGTCCCCAGCTCCCATGCCCCAGTCACTAATACATCATGATGATTACTTAATCCAATGTCCCTGCATGACAGGAAGAGAAACAATATTGAACAAGCTGCTAATGGCTTCAACAGTTACCCAAACATCACACAAAGCCACCCCTGGTGGAAATGTTCAGGTGTGGCAGGCCATGGGCTTTGAAAGAAGATTGTGATGTCAAGTGATTTCCTGGAACCACTGTGGAGTTGGAAACAGTTCACCACTGTTAAATCCTTTGGATTTTCTTAAGTGGTTTCCTCCCTGGAAGTACTGCAAGTCCCAGGAACAACTCCTGCACATCCCCTCCCCATCAATGATTAAAACCATGTTTGTAGCAGGCTCTAATTAAATATTCTGATAGTCTAATCTACAAAGTGCAGACATGGTGAATTTACTTTTTATCTTTGCTCACATCCTGATGATTTATCAGGACCCAGGTTCTGCTGTCTTTTGATCTTAATTCTGTGCTCTGAAAAAGACTGGAATCCCAGAGTTAGTCACAAAACTGGAAGTCACTCCTGAGGAAAGAAATCTCAATCATTGGAAACCTGTTGTCTAGTAATAACTGAACTTTAGACAAGTGTAAAGAAGCCATGAAAATCTGATTTTGAGCATGAATTTATATGCAGTTGCCTCACTTAGAAATGAGGACACGATTTTGTACTAATTAATCCATCAGAATTCAGAGCGCAGAAAACACATTTGTTTGGGTAAGTGACACAACTTCTGGCTCAGTGGCAGAATGGAGCCACGTGTATCCACTTGTACTGGTTGTTAACCAGCAATTCTATAAGTGGATTGTGAAACCATTGGCAGCTTGAAGACAACTATGTTGGGAATGTTTACACCATGGATATGGACAATTATGACAACAAATGTTCTGTCATCCTTTGTTCCCCAAAGAGCCAGTACACTTGACCCCTGAACAACTTAAAGGTACTGACACTAGCTAGGCCCCAGTCAAAAATATTTGCACAACTTCAAGCTGACCCTCAGTACAGATGGGTTTTCTATCTAATGAGTCAACCAACCTTGGTTGGTTGAATCCATGAATGCCAAGGATTCCTATCTAATGATTCAGCCAACCAAGGTTGAACTTTCTTTTACCTTGTTGAATCCATGAATGCCTGAGGATAGAAAAAAATCTGTGGATAAGTAGACCTGCAGTTCAAACCTGTTATTCAAGGGTCAACTATACTGCCCATTGTGGCTCTGACCTCAATCAAATTACTTTAAAATTCAAATTAGTTACTAAAATGTCTCTCTAGAGGATGTAGTCTTTAGAGCTAGGCAGACATGAATTCAAATCCTGACTCTATTATTTATTTATTTGAATAAGTTGTTCATCTTCTCTGACTCTTGATATCCTCATCTATAAAATGAGAACATGACTGGTCCAACCACTATGGAGAGCACCTGCACCCCTATGTTTATAGCAGCACTGTTTACAAGAGCTAAGCTTTGGAAACAACCCAAATGCCCAAAAACAGATGACTGGATCAAGAAGATGTGGTACATATACACCATGGAATATTATTCAGCATTCAAAAAAGATAAACACATGCAATTTGCAGCAACATGGATGGAGCTGGAAGGGATCATGTTCAGCGAAGTAAGCCAGAAAGAAAAAGAAAAATACCAGATGGTCTCACTCATAGCAGGAATCTAGAAAACTTAAATAAGGGACCAGGAAAATGAATAACTATAAGAAAGAAAATATCAAAATCAACAAACAACTATGAACCAGAGACACTCTAGGGGGGGTGAGGGGTGGGGAAAGGAGGGGTTGGGGTCAAAATAAGGGGGTTGTAATTGTATGGGGAATATAAAAATAAAATTTAAATTAAAAAAATGAGAACATGAATCCACCTCACAGAAGGTCATTTGAGAAATAACAGAACACACATAAAGCACCCAGTATAAAATATAACACAATTAAAATTATCCCTAGCTCATTAACCTGATACAGTTTTAACACATGAAATACTAACTAGATCACTTTCAAAACAGCCTTCCCCTAGTTCATGAAAGAAAATAATTCTGGGTAACACAGGTCTGAGAAAACAATCCTAGAAAAAGGGCAACAAAAATAATGGTCAGCCAGGAAGGCTACAGTCAGGCTGAGTCCTGACTTAACCAAGATTATGTACTCACAACGTGTAGATAGCAGTTTTATATATAACAAAAAAGGGAGAGGAATATAATAAAGGGGGAAATTAAGTGAATTATGGCTCATGCAAATAGACACACAAACTGTTATTTTTAAAATAATGTTTACAAAGCAGTTCAATGGAAAGGGAAAATGCCAATAAGACTGACAATGTTTAATGCAAAATGTAGGGTTGGTATTTTATATGCAGAAGTTATAATTTGCACATCTATATATATGTGTGTGTGTGTGTGTGCTTATACTCACACATTCAATGTAAAAATGGGAATTAACATGCCAAAGCATTCACAGCATACATTTCTTGGTAATAAGATTTTAGGTGAACTTTCTCTTCTTTACCCTGTTTGCATTAAAAAAAAAAAACTCTATTTTTTTAATAAAAAAGAACCTGTGCCCACTGCAAGCCCATCTTTGGTGAAGAGTCTGCTGCAGGAACGACGAAGATGGAAGTTTCAAAAAAGAGGTAACAGGGAAATTGGCAGAAGGCAATCCCAATCAATCAAGATAAACACTATAATGCAGAAACAAACCTAAGAAGGGGTGGTCAGAAGCAAATGGGGATGCAGCAGTGATACGAAAGAAGTGAAGACAGAAGACCATAGGTCCGAAAGGCAGTTGGGTGGTCAAAGGGGAAAGACTGGAGAAAGTTCAGCAGTGCAGACTTCTAGAACATTACTGACATTTTAAATAGATATGTCTGGGAGAGATTGTCAAGAAAAGCCCCTGCCCTTTAAGAAAAGACTGAAAAGTACCTTTTGTCTTCTGAGGCACAACAGCATTGTCTGAAATAGCAAAGACTGGAGGGGAAATGAAATGGTTGCCAGTAGGAGACTAGAGAAATGAAGTATGATACAATCACACAATGGACTACTATGCAGTCACCAAAAAGAATGAGAAGCTTCTTTACGTACTGATAAAAAATGGTCTCCAAAACATAATTGAATTTTTGAAAAGGTGGTGCTGGGGTGTGATAAACAATGTGAATATATTCACTTTGTATAAAAAAGGATGCCTAAGGAATTACAAGGGAGACTTCACTGTATATATCTGTTCCACATTTTGAACCATGTGAGTACTGCTTATTTTATTTTAAAATTTTATTTATTTTTTTGTGTGACCCTCACTGGTGGCCGGGGAACGAACCAGCACTGCCGAGGCTGCGGGCAGCCTCGCAACCCAGAGCTCAACCGCTGCACCACCAGGGGAGGCCCCTTAAAAATTTATTGTTATGTGACTGAGCTGTAGTGATTATTGAAGGATGGAAACTACATTTTCTCGGTCAAGGTGATTTTCCTTTTTTTTTTTTTATTTTGATATCCTGTCAAGTCTAGACTTTGTGGAATAGGAAAAAAAAAAAAAGACTATGATCAAGGTCAAAATTAACCTGCTGAGATTAAGTCACTAATCTTTTATACTAAAGAGCCCTGGCTGGGGATGATTTTACCCACACTTAATTGCTGTTACTGTGTGTTCAGAGCCCCCTCTGGTGGAAACTAGCAGACATTACAGAATTTTATACTAAGTATATCACAGTAAAATATCAAATTGCAGAATGAGGAATGTGTAATTACAAATACATGTGTAGGGCCTCCCCTGGTGGCGCAGCGGTTGAGCGCTGGGCTGCGAGGCTGCCCGCAGCCTCTGCAGCACCGGTTCATTCTGCCACCGGCAAGGGTCCCAAAAAATAAATAAATATAAAATTAAATAAATAAATACATGTGTATATATACATTTTGCACAAACATGAGAAGATTAATGTAAACTCCTATGTTTGTAAATACAACATTTTAGTATAAAAATGAAATCAATTCATGGCCTGGACATATATTAAAGATGTTCAAGGTGCTTAATTTTTTTTTTATTATTTTTGAATAACTGCTCCTGAGCTATTCACCTAGAATCTCTTTCATCTTCATGAGATATAATTGACATAAAACACTGTGTTGGCTTAAAGTGTATAATGTGATGATTTGATATACATATATTGCAAAATAATGCCACAGTAAGGTTGGTCAACACATGTATCACATTACTTTTCTGTGTGTTTGTGTTTCACATCATTTTTTGTGTTTCTGTTTTAAGATCTATTCTGCCAAAAACTTCCAAGTATAAATGATAGCATGGTTAAGTACAGTCACTATGTGTGTTACATCCACAGAACTTACTCATCTTATAACTGCAAGTTTGTACCCTCACCACCTTTACCCTTTGTCACCTCTCACCCCTAGCCACCACTAATCTACACTCTGTTTTTATGAATTTGGTGTGGGCTTTTCTTTTTTGGTTTCACATATAAGTGATATCATACATCTTTCCTGTCTGATTTATTTCACTTAGCATATGTGATCTATCTATCTTAGCTTGGACACTTAGATTGCTTCCATGCCTTGCTATTGTAAGTAATGCTGCACTGAATATAGAAGTGCAGATATCTCAACACAGTGATTTCATTTCCTTTAGATCTATCCCTAGAAGTGGAATTGCTAGAATATATATGGAAGTTCTATTTTTACTGTTTTGAGGACTCTCCATGAAGCTTCCCATAGTGGCTACACCAGTTATACCCCCACCAACCAGGCCCAGAGATCGATTTCCTCCACTCATTCGCCAATACTTGTGTCCTGTTACAGTTTGGTTCTTTTTGATAATGGCCATTCTGACAGCTTGTGAGATGAAAACTCATCATAGTTTTGATTTGCTTTTCCATGATGATTACTGAAGACAGATGTTAGCAACAGAATAATTGCTCATCTCACTATTGCCTTTTCCGCGAAGTGATCTTTTCAGGCTAAATGACCTTCAGAACAAGACTCAGTCACATTAAGAGTCACGCAAATCACTTTTGTGAAAACCCCATGACCAGCATTGCTCCATGCAAGGCAAACTGAGCCCTTCACAGCCCCGTCGCTTACCCTGAGACAGGACATCAGTGCCCTAGAAAATCAAGGCCAATTTTTCTCTCCAAACTAGGAAAGTAACTGCCACTCCGCCTGGCAGGATGGGCAATCATTTATATCTACATATCTGTATCTAAATCCACATCGATTGCTATTTTTTTTAAGATTTATTTTTTATTTATAAAAGAACCAGGGTACAGGCCAGATATGCAGGAGTGGGAGAGGATTCAGAGACAGAGCAGGGAATAGAACAGGTAGACTGACTAAACACTGCTGAGGGGAGCAGCGGGCAAGACAGGAGAGGTCTGCCACCCCATGTGGGTTGCTCCGCGGCTGGCGAGGATCGAACTGGCACTGCAGAGGCTGCGGACAGCTTCACAGCGCTTCACTCAATCACCTGCACCACCAGGGAGGCCCCCCCTATTGCTCTATCTAGATCTATCTTCTTTCTACCTACCTACCTTTAAATCTAGCTTCCTCTGGAGCAAGGTTCAGCAGCTTGTCAACCCCAAGCGCCATCGTGAGCCCAAGCTATGGCTTCCATTGCAACTGGGAACATGAAACAGGAGAAAGGGAGGCTGGAAATAAAGGCCTCAAAAATGGGGTGGATGGTAACAAGCCAGAGACTTGCATGGGGGGAGGGGCAAGGAGTAGGAACTACTGTGTAGAGAGCCGCTTCATGCACATTATAGAGTTTAGTCTTCACAACAGTCCTATAGAGAAAACACCATTTCTCTCGTTTACGGGCAGGGCACATAGAACTCTGAGAGTTTAATACTATGTCCACAGTCACCCTGCCTGTAAGCAGCACAGCTGAACCTGAAAACAGCTGTGACTGCAGAACCAACTTGGCCACGCTGACTCTCAGAGAGAGAAAGGAGCCCAAAGACGAGAGAGGGCAGAGGGAGAGGAGGAGGGATGGGGGTAAGATGCCAGCACAAGTGGCTGGAGGTCCCGGACATCTGTATCACACCTTCTGGGCTAGACCTTTTTGTGATTTTCCCCTGTGTGAGTCATGCTGATTCCTGAGTAATTTCCAAGCTTTAGTCAAGATCTTCATGTGTAGTGACTGAATAATGTCACTCAGTCTGTTATGTGTGTTTTTGAAAGTATCCTGTGGAATTGCTGTCATCCTGGAAAGGCCTGCCAATCAAAGGAATTCTTGGGGTGAGAGAAAATAGCTGTAACGTTTCCAGGTCTGTGGTATAGTAACCTGGATGGCCTGCCTAGCACTTGACCAACCAGAAAACTTGTGTGAGGCACATTAGTATTTTTTATAGCTCTTGTGTTTAGATGTTTAACAATGATTGGGAAAGGTTATTTTTAAATTAAAAAAAGTTAAGAGGAGGGCCTCCCTGGTGGCACAAGGAGTAAAGACACAGCACTATGAAGCTGTCTACAGCCACTGCAGCACAGGTTAGATCTCCAGCCAGGGAGATACCCACATGGCGCAGCAGACCTCTCCTTTCTTGCCTGCTGCTCCCCTCAGCAGTGTATTTCAATAGATCTGCCTGTCCTGCTCCCCACTCTGTCTCTGGTGAAACTTCTCACCCTTCCCCCACACACCTCTGGCCTACACCCCAGTTCTTGTATGCATAAATAAATCTTAAAAAGAAATTAAGAGGAGATAAATATATGTTGCACTGTACAGGTTACACTGAACACACAGAGACCCAAACATTGACCAATAGTGAATTTTGTTTTCTCAAAAAAAAAAAAAAAAAAAGAAATTGTGTTTCTCCACAAAAAGGCACAGTGAATTTGCAGTTATTAACTTGAAATGAAGAGGTCTCGAGGAAAGAAGCGATTATTGCCTTTGACTCAAAAACTCATTCGGGTACGCATTCCTCAGGCACACAAACATCCACTCCCACATATTTTTAATATATGAAAGCAGCAACAGTTGTTAGTTTACATATCCCCACAGTATCTAAGGCTATCCTGTCGCTGGAAATTTGCAAAGAAAGTCTTCGTAGACAATTGTAAGAGAAAAATGAATGACATTCGCAAGGTAGGTGCCAACATTAATCTAACGTAAACTGGAAGGAATTCTGGTTTAGAGGGGAAGGGAGAGGAGGGAACCCCCGCAATCGCACTGCTATGACAGGAGCTGGTCAAGGGAGACTCACTTCTTGTTGCTTTCAATCCACAGACAGTTTGAAAGAAAACCAGCCTTGTCATTCTTCTTGTAAAACCTGCAGTGGAGCTCCAACCCTATGCACTTCATGTCCAAAAGGTCAGTGTGGAGGGTAGCAGAGGTGGCAATGTCCATGCCGATTTATTGTAACTCGTGTATATGGGCATCTTTATACAGGGGGTTTGTAGGACTTGACCTAGATGTCTCACACGTTCCTATCACTGTAGCTACTCTGGAGAAACAAGGGGACCCAGACACTCACCTATAATAACTGGCTTTCAAAGGATGGAAACAAAGATAAAAATGCTTCTTATCCAAAAGCTTGATGATGATGGGTCTTTGCATATCTGAAATTTCTGTCGGTTATAATGCTCTTTGGAAGTGCAATAGCTGAAAGAAAAGAACCTGCAGTATAGAATAGAGGTTGGGTAACTAGCCTACCTGCTAGTTCCTTCTTTTCTGGCACTGAATTTAAGGGAAGAAAAAATAAAACAATGTCACAGCTCAACAAATTAACTGCTTCACCATCCATAAAAACAAAATATCAGAAATAACACCCCTAAATGAGGGAATATTTTATTAACTTGGTGCATTAACATTAAGAATAAAGAGTATTATACTCCCATTAAAGTAGTCATTAAGTTGGAATGTGCAATGTTAATAGTGAGACGGGATGCAAAAACAATTTAAAATGATAGGTGTTCTGTGATGCCACTCCTATAAAATGTACACACAAAAATAGAGGCAATTTTGTGGGTACTTTGGAGTTGAGGATGAGTTTTAAATTACTTTCATTAATAGTGGTTTTATTTTCAATTAAAAACAGATGGACCATTCATTCAAGGTAGAATTGGATGAAAGAATTATTGCTAGGTCAGGATCCTAGCAAGATAGGTTTGGGGAAAGCAGAGTGGACCCCACTGAGCTGCACACATCTCACTGCCTTCTACCAGGAAGACAGAGAAGGTACCAAGTTGACAAAGGGAAGCCCCAGAATGACCCAGAGAAATAGGGCAAAAGCCTCATGTTGTCAATTTCCTTTTGAGAGCTTGAACTGACCATGACGACTTAGGAACACTAAAGTGTCTTGACAAGGCTGAAAGCGTGTTCTAGGTACTTGTGTCTTTGGAGCAGTTAAAATGCAGTTCCAGAGAGTACACTCTCAGGATCATGTCTAGTTTGTCATAAAACTCTCAGGGGTCTGCGTGCATGTCTGTACTGTTTGGTCTGACACGTGATGACTGTCTGATCTGCCTTCTTCTTGGATCTCTAGGTTCCTATCTGTTGGATCAGGCCTGCATCTCCGTCTGTCCCCCGGGGATGTGGCCCTCAGTGAGGAACGGCAGCTGTGAGGCCTGTTCTGAGGACTGTGCCCTTTGCTCTGAAGTCAGTCTGTGCACAAAGTGCCAGAGTCAGCCAGACCATCCCCTCTTCCTCCACGAAGGCAGATGCTACAGCAAGTGTCCTAAGTAAGTCTCTCTCTTCCTTTCACTGCCTGCCTGTGTTAATTTTCCTTCAGTACCCATTAGCAAGTCCTTCCCATTCACCAAAGAACTCCTCTCCCCATGGCTACAGCAGCCATATTAGCCATTCCTCTCATCTGTCTGACATCACTATTGGCTACAGCAGCCAAAAGGTTCATAGGCCAGATGCACACTTCTCCCTGAGCTACTACATGTTTTGACATTTGTGAACATTTGTTCTTTTTTCCACCTGTATTTACAATCAAGTAGTTGTCCACTTTTTTTTGTCCATCACAAAAGTGATGTGTGATAGGCTGTGGAACACATAAGCTCTTTCTAAATGGTTCGAGTAGGTGAGGTATAAGTCATAAAAAATAAAGAATAAAGTCATGGTTGATTATGTGTTTTCTTCATGGTTTCCTTAGTCCCCTGGTTTAGAATCCCTCGACTCATCCTATCAACAGTTTATTTTGTTTGGAACTCCTTGAGCTTCTTGGATTTAGATGGCTGTTTCCTTCTCCGAGTTAGGAAAGCTCTTAGCTATTATTTCTTCAAATAAGGTTGTTTTTTTTTTTAAAGATTTATTTATACAAGAACCGGGGTACAGGCCAGATATGCGGGAGGGTGAGAGGATTCAACAGAGAGAGACCAGGAACCAGAACAGGCAGACTGACGAAATACACTGCTGAGGGGAGCAGCAGGTGAGGCAAGTGAGGTCTGCCACACCATGTGGGACCCTCGCCAGATGGCCTGGATCGAACCAGTGCTGCAGAGGCTGCAAACAGCTTCACAGTGCGGCACTCAACCTCCTGCGCCACCAGGAAGGCCCTTCAAATAAGGTTTCTATCCCTTTCTGTTTCTCTGTCTCCTTCTGGTAGCCCTATTATACAAATAGTCCTCTTGATATTTTCCTGTAAATTTCTTACTGTTTTTGCTATTTCTGATACTTTTTTTCATTTTGTTCAGAGATTGTTGCAATTGGATATCTTTCTTGCAGTTTTATTTTATTCCATCATTTGGAGTACATTCATTTTGTTTGTGATGACATGCTAATTTGTATGGGTTGAGCTAAGTAGCTTTCTTTCCTTGTTTTGATGTGTTGGCATTATATTAAGGTGACAGGTTGCAGGATAAAATATAGGTTGTTTGCCTGGGATACTGGGGAGCTGATGCTTTAAAAGCTGAAATCTCTGCCCCCCATTGGATGACTGGAGCTCTCATGTCAGCAAGGGTATGAAATGGGGCAGTGTGATGCAAAGAGGCTGCTGATAACAGATGCCAGGTGCTCAAGTGTCCCCAGGGTACCCAAGCTGAGGAGGCAATCAGTAGTCACCCTCTTCTCTTGGTTAGTCCCACACAGAGCTTTCCCAGCAGACTCAGGCTAACACTGATCCATCAATTGCAGTCCAACTCTGATACAGCAGCTTCTGCAACCCAAAATTTCCCCAGAGGCACAGGCAGGAGCACAGCCATCTGGGAGCTGTGGGTTTGAACTGTGGACAGGTCACAACCCCAAAAGAGGTCACAGGCAGATGAGAGATGGGTGATTCTCAGGGTCTGTGGGCATTGTCCATTGAAATTAGCTCTCTTGCAGACCTCTCTCCAACCCCCCTTGGGGTTGTGTCCCTAGAAGGGAGACGTGAATAGGAATAACTATAACTAGGGCCTGTTCCTGGCAACATCCACAGTATGTTCGGTGGAGGTGCAAGCTCCAGCTGCCAGGATCCGGGGCTTTAAACTCAGACTAGAGATAGCAAGCACTATAGGAGAATATAACCCCACCAAAGGCCACAGACAATTGCGGGACAGGTGTTTTGCCCAACACAGCAGTCATTTACAGAGTGGACCCTCTCCTTTGAATCCTCCAGAGGGAGCCCCAGGTATACCACATTCTACTTCCCCCAAGTTCCGTTAACAGGGCCTTCCACAAAGACACAAACTCCAGCTGCTCTCAAGCTGTATGCATCTTGGACAAATGCTGTCTGTAGTCATAGGACTGCTAAATGACCTTAGGTGCCACAGATGGCAGAGGGGCTTGGGTGCTCTGCTGTCTGCTCCTGGCTCCCTGGTTGATTTCTACCAGTGTGGTATGGGCCCTGACCAGAACTTATCTGCTCCTCCGGTGCTCAGCTACAAGTCTCTGCTACTTAGAATCCTGTTGTTCTCCAAAGAAGAGCCCCTCTGTTTTCTACCCCGGATTTTGTGTGCTTCCTCTCTAGTGCTATTGCTGGTACTAGGACCCCTGGTAGGGAGTGAGCCTTTCAGTCTCCAAAAAAGATTCCATATGGCTGTCCCTCCCAGTCTTAGGCTGCAGTGCCCGGGTAGCCTTCCAGGTGAAGTTATGTTATCATTTTCCCTAACCTCTCCAACATTTTCTGACACTATTCCTTGTGAAAATGCAGGTCCTTCAGTTGCCTAGTCTTTTCCAGGAGAGAGAGAGAGAGAGAGAGAGAGAGAGAGAGAGAGAGAGAGAGAGAGAGGGAGGGAGGGAGGGAGGGAGGGAGAGTGTCTGTGTGTGTGTGTAGTTTTGTCATATCTGCAGGAAGGAGGAGATCCTGGAATCTTGAATCTAAAAAACCATCTTGCTGTTTAATATACTATTTGTATCTGTCACTAAGCTAGATCCTGAAGGGTACAAACATAAGGCACATACACTTAAGCAGCTTCCAGTCCAGTATAAAAGCCAAGCTTATTCATTCAATTCTACAGACACATACTTAGCACCTACTAGGTCTAAGAAGTCATGTTGGAAACTAAGATCAGTTGAAGAAGTCTGAACATGCAACAAGCTTACAGTCCAGCAGGGAAGATTTACATCGATCAGTGTCAAAAGAGGCTAAATTCCAATAGGATCTTAACACAGAAGATTAAGTGATTCTGAGAGAAAACAAACCATTTAAAAGCAGCCACTCTCTGGGTGCTCGTGATGCTGAGACACTGTGCTAAGAGTTTCCACTATAACAATCCCATTAACCTTCAAAAGAACCCTCTTATCCAGATACTTTTCTTCCCCCATCTCTTTTGTAAAACGGGGAAAGCAGCAGCAAGCTCAGTGTCACACAGCTAACACATGGGAGTCCAGGGTTCAACACAAATTATCACTGCTGTCCATGTGCTTAACCATTGCTCAATATCAATTTCTCATCTAAGTGGAGTCTTAAATAATAATTTTATTGAGATAAAACTTAGATACCACACAATTCCTGCACATAAAATGTACCATTCAAAGGTTTTTACTATATTCACAGACTTGTACATCACAATTGATTTGAAAATTTTTTCCATCACTCCAGAAAGAAAGCCTCTACTCTTTCAATAGTTATTCCTGATTGCCCCCAGTCTTAAGCAACCACTGATTTATTTAGGTCTAGGTCTTTACAGATTTCCTTGATCTTAGACTTTTCATATAAAGGAAGTCATACAAAATGGATCTTTTGTGACTTGTTTCCTTTACTCACCATAATATTTTCAAAATTCCTCCCCAGTGAGGTGTTTGAGAAGAAGCTTACTGGTAAATAGCTCCAGAAGGATTTTTTAAGGCATGGATGCAAGCAAGGGGAGGAAAGGGTCAAGATAAGATAACCCAAGAAGGCAGTCTGAGGCAAGACAGAGTAAGAGAACTCAGTTGAACTTCTCCCCCAACAACCACGCTCTGGCCTTAGCAAAGGCATTACAGGACAACAGTGAAGGGCAGAGGTCGACTTGGCAAAGGCAGTTATCACTTCCTTGTTAACCTTTGCCATGAAGGAATTGAACTGATTGTGATTATATCACCTTACTTCTTTACTGAATGCTGTCTTTTCCCATTTCTCTCTTGGCTTTTTCAAGTATTCCAGGAACTGACAACACACTAAAGCCAGGGAGAAAGAGATGCACTTTTCCTTCCTCAGATTAGTTGACCAATCAACACTTCTCTCCTCCAAATCTGGGCTGAGTCACTCTTAGGAAACAATGGGACAAGGTACAGACATAAGAGTAGCTATGTACTTTTTGAGCAATTAGAAAATTAAGAACATGACCTGAGAATACCATACAAGCATGTGCCCTTCTGCTTTGAAGCAGGGTGGAATGGTTACTATGGACGCCCCATCTTTATGTGTTCAAAAAGAAAACACAAACATCCTAAAGTCTGGGCTTGACAGCTTTGTTGCTCTCACAGAGAAATCACCCTTTTGGGAGCAACCCATCTAAAAACAGCAGTAAGAATTATAACAGAAACACAATAGAAAATGAAATAGCATCCAGGTAGCCAATATTATTTATAAGTCAGCTTTAGTGGTCAGTGCTTTTCATGTCAGGTAGATGCCATGGAAAAAGAAAAAGTTGGAGTCATAAAAAATATAATCTGTTATAGGACAGGGAGAGGGGCAGCCCAAACCCCGCAAACCTGCCTATTCTAAATGGGTTCTGCCATCCGCCGCATCAACACAAAACATAGGAGACTTTAATGGGAAGGAACTTTAATACAACTAGGAAACAATACAGGAAAGGCAAAGAGTCTAGTTTCTAAATGAAGCACCCAAAGTTACCCGTCCCCTCGTGGGTAAAAGTCCATCCATATGGGAATGGCGCAGAGCAAGGCCCCAAAGCCTGCCACAAGTCTAAAGCATCTTCCATTGGGGACCCACAGAAAAGGGTCAGAAACAAGCAGACAAGCCCGGAAGGAAAAGAGCAAAATCAACATCAAGATAAAAGCTGCCATTGTCACCTCCCCATGGGTCTCACCCACATCTGTGTCACCCAGTCCACGACCAAAAGACAAGCTCAGTTTCTTCACGTGTCTCTAGGCTCCATGTGCCTCCTCCAGGTCTCCTGGCTCCATCCTGCTTCCTTCCTCAGTCTCTTCTGCAGCTTCTCCTCTTCCTGCTCAGCTCCACCCTCCCTTGGGAGGGGCAGGGAACCTCCCCCTTTCCTGGGGACCACCCTGTTACAATATCATTATAGTTATTGTTTAAAAGGCAACACAAAAGTTATAACATGTTCAAATCCATCAAATATGAATGGATTTGAAGCAACTAAATACAGTCTTCCTGTAAGTGGCTGCACTGGCTTGGTTGTCTAAAATGTAGGTTGAGTTTCAGAACCGTTCGTTCATCTTCTGCTTTACATTTCCCTGGGTTGAAAGACTTCAGCATAAAGTACTCTGGACTTCATTAGTCCAGATGGTCATTCTGTCTCCAAAAGTATGTTTATCTTCTTAAATAAAATTAGCAGTGAAAATTAAAGCATTAACATAGAAAATGCAAATGTAGGGAGAAGACAGTAGGACAAATTACTAGGGAGATCTGTGTGAATAGGCTGCTTTTACCAAAGTGACTTTCTGAAAAAATCTCGTGTTGCCTTTGGCTTCTTCCTGACAAGATTCCGAGATTTGCCTGTTTTTGAGTTAGCACTAGTCATAAATAATTTTTTTCTTCTTTGTGCTTGAATTTACTCCTCTCATTTAAGCATCTCATCAACATCTACTAACTCCCTTATGAGAAGACTCTGAAAAGGATTTCTTCTTGCTGTATCTTCTTGGGTTCATAAAAAATATATAAACTATATTCATAAAAAATATAAACTATAAATAAACTAGAATTGCTTATTTTCAGTGTTCAGAAATGCTTCTCGAGAGACCTTGGGCACCACTGCAATATCTCTTGACAGATAGCCCCCACCCTCTAAGCACTGAGATGGTCCAGCTGGTATGCCCAGATGCCACCCTAATTCTATGATGGGGTGAGTCCCACTCTGTTATTTACTGAGCAGAAGCTATCAGGAGTGGTCAAAGGGGCTACAGATGAAAAACACAGACATTTCTAGCAGTGAGAAAATTCCCAGAGTTTAGAAAAGGTTGGCTAGGGAGAAAGATCATCTCACTCAGCAAAGTCAAGTGCCTTATTACCCCATAGGAATGGTGGGTTCGTCAGATTCTCATCCTGAAGATGTAATATATTTGAGAATGCACTTAGTTTCCTAAATTCCAAATTTCTCAAATCAAACTAAACTTTTGGTGAGCATATAATACCTTTCTCTCCACTGCCTCATCAAATGAATCTTTTAGAGACTCACTTGGTTGGACAAAGTAGTAACATCTTTATTCTTATTCTTAGAGTATTCTCTAAGTGTTCTTTATTCTTAGAGGATTCAAAAACGCTAAGGACACTCATGTGTGAAAAAATTTGGTCTTAAGTTTGTATACTATTTAGTTCTCCTTCTACCCAAGCTGCTTTTTAATTCCAATTTTTCCCTCTTAAAATCACATTAGAAATGTGACTTTTACATACCCCTGTCCTTTTTCTTCCTGACATAGTCAACATATATTTGCTTACTGAATACAAGAAATTAATGACTGAAAGAATGATTAAATGGATATAAATGAGTTCATTAAAATATCCAGCAGAGATGCTATAGAGATCAGATTATATGCTGGGATCCCTGTATCATGCCCTCTTGCCTATAACTCTGCAGCAACTCACATATGAGGAAGAATGGACTTCCTTGACCCTTGACTTTGGGTGGGGTTATCTGATTTATTTCAGCCAGTGGGATGTGAAAAGAGAGGCAGAAACTTAAAACGTGTTTGCCTGCTTGAATGTGCACTCTGGAGCCTCTGCCATGCCAATGAGAAGCACATGGCCCAGCAGCCCCCTTACCAGGAAGGTTAAGGGTCTGTGACAACCTGGACCTAGTGTGCAGTTTGGAGTCCGGCTCCTTCCCCCTCAGCGCAGGCTACGTCATTCTCCTGTATGTGCTGCCAGTTCCTTCCTCCTAGAGCACAAGCTTAGCCTAGATCTGCCAAGCCACAAACACGTGGGTAGCCATGATTTGGGGGATATTTTCTTTCATAGCACTGTTATGGCAATAACTAATAGAAGGATAACTATAAAACAATTAGAATAGGTTCCTATGACACCGAAAGCCATTTTCTAGACTGGTTTATGATTTTACTCCTTCTACAAGTTCCAGTTATTCCTTTAAAAAAAAAAAAAGTCACAAATTCCTTCATCTCCCACACATTTGAGAGGGTTTGGGTTTTTTGCTATTAATAGTGTTTACACATCAGTGAATGATTTGTATATTGTGATAATCATTCAAAGGTACTACATCTACACCTTCACACACACACACACACACACACACACACACACACACAGAGTCTACCTGGAAGAAAGTCAATCACATACATCCATAAGAGGTGCTCAAAATATGTTCAATGCTGTGTGCAAATATTTATAGGTGTGTATATGAAAGACGTGATCAGAGGTTAGCTGAGAGAACCCAAAAGCCAAAAAAATGGTTCTCATTTTATAGGGTATTAAACCTTTTAAAAACATTTAATGTATTGATTTTTAAATTATTGATTAAAAATATGTTCAATTGAATAAAAAGCATTTTCTTTTCTAAAATAAGGCACTAACAAAAAAAGAGAAAAAGAGAAAAAATTGAGAGGTAAAATAGGGAAATCAGAAGATGACTGACCTATAAACAAATTAATATATATTTTCAAACAAACCAATTTACTATTCCTTTCATCTTATTTCTCCAGATGTTTTTTGACTTCCTCAGGAACTCTGATGGACTCATTTTTGTTAACTATAGCAGCAGCTGGTTTTAGTCCTAATTCCTTTGCCACCAAGATTAAATCCTTTCCTTAGCGGGAAAGTTTCTTCACTTGCTTTCTCTCCTCCCCACAGGGGCTTCTATGCAGAAAATGACACATGTGAACACTGCAGCTCTTCTTGCAAGACATGTGAAGGAAATGCCACCAACTGCCACTCATGTGCAGAAGGCCTTGTCCTGGAGCAGGGAATGTGCCAGAAAACGTGCTCCAAGAGGCATGTGGCCATGGAGGGGGTGTGCAAGCCATGTCCGGAGATGTGTGAGGATTGCATCCATGAGAAAATATGCAAAGGTACCTGGGAGCATCTCAGGAGACAGGGGGCGCCACTGAGCCACCCCTGCGTGTGACCAACTCTCTAAAGGTGGGGTATCCAGAACTAGGGGAGCAGTCTCCCTAGTTCACTTAAGTTTCATCTACCTCTGTGCACATCACTGAGGAAAGTAAAGGCAAGAAAGTCCTTTCCATTATGAATTCTGTAAGTTAAGGCAGACCAGGGCCCTTTTTACATGATTTCTTCCACACACGTACTTTAGAACATAGAGCACAGGTATGCCAAGCTCTACCTCAGGCTCTAGAGATATAGACAAGAACCCCCCAAAACAAGGAAGTATTCAGATTCCGAGGTGATGCTATCAAAAAGGCAAGACCATGTTTAAAAGATAACCAGTCCAGGAGGGCAACCTACTCTCTCCCTGCAAGATTTGCAGTGTATCAGAACATTTCTCTAGTAACCAGTCCGAAAGCCAAACAATAACCCTGTAACAACTGGCACCAAGTGTCCAGGGTTTATTACTCCATCGAACATGTTCCCCAATCTCACCATCACCAATCGGGGCATACCTGAAGCTACTCTTTTTTTTTTTTCCCCCTATTACACAGCTTTTTCCACCACTCTACTTTAAATCTGTCAAGCACATGTGATGGTGGCTGACACCCTTAATAAATAGATGTATAGACTTTTCTTATTGAGAGAGAGAGAAAGAGACAGAGCGACCACAGTTCCTATCTTTTTGAGTACAAAATCTTATGAGAGTCTGATATGAAGCAATGAGCTCAACGGTAGCTGGAGAATTGCAACTGTTAGAAAAGACAAAAAAGAAAAATTGAGATAACTGTAATAAGAGACTCTGACAAATGTACTCTGGCTAGGGATTATTTTCTCTGGAATTTTCTCCCAAAAGAGACTGTCCCATTTTCTCTCCAGAATAATACTTTTAAGTATGTGTCTATTCCAAAAAATTCTCTTGGTATGACCTAAAATTTTTGCTAGGATTCCTCTCAAAATAAACCCACAAGGTAGGTTTATTCATACTAACCCGTCAGTGAGTGACAAATTAATTAATCCAAGAATTCCTAAACTTATTTCTGTATTAACCGGAGCAGCAGGTACTCAATACAATTTTCAAAACTGTTTTTGTTTTTTTTTTTTTTTTAAAGATTTACTTATTTTATTTATACAAGCACTGGGTACAGTCAGAAGCGCAGGAGGGTGAGAGAATTCACCAGAGCCAGAGCGAGGAGCAGAGAAGGCAGAAGGACCGAAGTACACTGCTGAGGGGAGCAGCGGGTGGCAGGAGAGGTCTGCGCGCCATGTGGGACCCTCCTCCGGTGGCCGGGGAGCAGCCGGGGATCGAACCGGCGCTGCAGAGGCTGCGGCAGCTTCACAACCCAGCGCTCAACTGCTGCGCCACCGGGAAGGCCCAATTTTCTCAAAACTGTTAATCATTTCCCAGTTTTTGGAATACTTCCAGCTGCAACTTTTTGCACCTCCTGGGGGCAGATCATCTCAGGACAAAAAGCCAGCATTATCTCAAGTCAAGATTTGTAGTCTCCTCTCCCAAGTAGGGCCTGTGAGAGCTGCAGGAAGTACCCAGGCAGGCCAGGGATGGGGCCGATGTGCTCTGAGGTCAAATGAGCCAAAGGGTAGGGGTTAGACTAGCAAAAGAAAAGAATCCTTTTCTCCTGTCCCCTGGGGGGTAACTTGCTGCTCTCCCCTCCCCGCAGAGTGCATGCCTGACACCTTCCTGCATGAAGGCACGTGCCTTCAGTCCTGTCCCAAGAAGTTCTACAAAGACGCAGGCCACTGTGTCCGCTGCCACCAAGACTGTCTAGAGTGCAGCGGCCCGTCAGCAGAGGACTGCAGCAGCTGTGCTATGTGGTTGCTGTCGTATCTCTACCACGGGCGGTGTTTGGCAGCGTGTCCAGCAGGAACTTACCATGAAAGGTGGACTGATGACTGCAAAGGTAAAGACCTCCTGGCACATGGCCAAGTGGAATATCCCAGGGAGCCCCGTGGGTTTTGGGTTTCTGCTGAGACAAAGCAGGTTCTGGGGATTGCGCGGGTCTCGTCTGACCCGAGAGCTGTCACCCTACCCCTTTCCCTGATGCTCAAGCATATTTAGAGTCTGCTCTAATTTATCATTTATTTTTTAAATGAATTGTTTGTAAGTTTTGATCCCTAACTTCTATTGGCAATGAATCACACTGTGCCTCCTCAGGACAGCAGCTGACCGAAAAGGATTCTCTTGTGAGGATTTGTAACAGAGATAATGAGCCTTCAAAATTCACCCCAAATGGAAGATTTTCCTTAAAACGTTAAGCCTCTGCAGGTTTATAGCGGCATAAACAAAGCTGTGCTGTGGAGGATTTTCTCTGTCTGTCCTTCCCTTTATCATGCAACCTGAAGCTCCTTCCTTCCCTCTCCCTTCCCTTCACCTGCTCCTGCCCCGGGTCCCCAATCCCACCTTTCACTCAGCACTTCAATCCCTGTACCTTCGAGAGATGATCTGTTTTTATTCCTGCCTCTTTATATTTTAAGTTTGTATGAATTTTTGCCTACTTTCAGCAAGAAACAGAAAAATTAACACCATTGCCTTTGCTAGAGAAATTCTCCATCAAATGAGGAAAGCATTTTGAGGAAGGGACTTTCCTTTTATTCCCCCCCCCATTTAATTGAGATGTCCTTTACATAACACTGAGTAAGTTTAAGGGATGTGTGGTGACGGATACATCTGTGTATCACTAAATGATGATCACAGTAAATTTAGCTAACACGTCCATCACTCCACGAAGTTACTTGTTTGGTAAGAATATTTAAAATTTACTTTCTTAGCAACTTTTAGTATATTATACAGTATTGTTGACTATATAGTCAAAGCATTCATTCCGATAGGCAGCCAGTATTTTACCTCTAATTTTCCATGAAACAAACACTACTGGATTCCAGAGGCCAGAGCCTTAAACCATAGTGAGAGTTTGAAGGTAAACTCAGGTTGCAAGAGAAAGCTTGGACCAGCTGCATTCTAGAACATACTTAGAGAAACATTTTTGGTAAGATCGGAAGATAGATTTTACTCCTGAAAGCAATCTGCTCTAGCTTTATGATCTGGATAAACTTTTTTTGTGTGTTTTATGTTTCCCCTGGCTTGAAAGAACATGGACTTGGAGACGGGCGGCTGTGCCTGCATGGCAGAAGGGGTACACCTGAGTTATGCGACACTCATCCAATGAGTGATCATTAGGAACCTACTATGTGCTGTGTGCTCGTTCAGGCCCAGGGAACAGCAGGGGACAATACAGACAGAAACCCTGCCCTCATGGAGCTTACATCCTACTGGGGGAAGATAAGTCAAAAGGAAAAAATCAGTCAGGGAAGGAGGACAGGCAGTTAGGTAGGACAGAATTGAAATTCCAGAGAAGGCATCCTGGAAGACAGGAAGAAACAGGGAATAAAGGGCGCATATATCCGAGAAAAGAGAATTCTAGGCAGAGGGAATGGCAATGGTTAAAACCCTGAAGTGGGAATGAGTTGCTCTTATTATTAGTCTAACAAATACATATGGAGAGCCTATTGCATACCAGACCCTCTCACAGGCACTGTGCGTTCATAAATGAATACAAAAGACACCCTTTTTGCCTAGAGGTAATTATGTCTTGACATAACCTCAAGGTTTTCTGGGAGGTGTGGAAAGACCACAGAAGATATGATGGCAAAAGATCACGAACTAGTGTGGAGAGCTGTTTATTTTTTGTTGTAATTTGGGCAATTACAATTTCACTAATATTCCTGAAGTGGGTTGTTGCGCTTCAGTCTGTACTATGAGTGGCCATTTTTTCCTCATTTTGCAACATGAATGCTCAACCCTGGAACCCCTTCCCCAACTCATGGTCCCATACCTGTGGACAGTGCTCTAGAAATCTCTGGAGGAAGGTGAAAGGAATGTAAACACACTTCCCAGGGGAAGTAACTCCCTGAAGGGGTACCCCAGCCACCTCTCACCCTGTCTGCCGCCCTTCTGCCTCCAGATTGCCATGAGTCCTGCCAGACCTGCTCGAAGGCTGACACCTGCCAGACCTGTCAGAAAGGCCTGACGATGAACAGCCATGGGGAGTGCGTGCCTCACAAGGAATGTACCGTCTCTGAGTACTGGCATGAGTCTCTGGGGTGCCAGCCCTGTCACTCTAAGTGCTTCCGCTGCAGGGGGCCTGCTGAGGACCAGTGTCACAGCTGCCCGAAGGAGAACCTTCTTCTCAGTAAGTAACTTTTCCTCTGAAGAGGGCTTTGTTTTTCCCACTACCTGGGAAAATACCTTGCATGCTTTCTGGTACCCAGCAGATTTTTCTTCATTTTTTTACTTTGTATTTGGAAAAATTTGAAACCTACAGAAAAAAATGCAAGAACTAGAAGTGTACAAGAACACAGCTTGTGCCCCTCTACCCACCTCACCCACCAGTCTTCTTTCACCCCATGTGCTTTCTCACCTGCTTGCTGTTGCTTGCTCACCCTCATTGTATGTGCAGACATGATGCACAATAGATCTTTCTCTGACCCACTCGAGTACACATTGCATATAACATGGCCCCTTTGTCACAAACTCTGGTATATATTTCCTAAGATCAGGGACGCTTTCTTACATAACCTCGCTGTTAACGCTAGTGAGCTTACCCTTGAAATAATAATATATCTCCCTTATCTTCCTGGGATCTTACATTCTAATTACCCCAATCTACAGTGCTACCTGTGATCACCTTCATACACGCAGGAAGATGTCTTATCACTACAGCATGGTCTTCTCTTAAACTAAGGGGATGAATTAGACTTAATTAGAAATTAAGACTTCAGGGTGTAACTCAGAGCCGAGTCCCCGGTAGGCCAGGTTCGGGATGTGCTCAGGCTGGTCTTCTCATATTACCTCACCCTGCCCCTCGCCACCACCCCACTAGGGTCAAGCTAGTTACAAACTAGATAATTCCTCCAATGGTTTTGAAAAATTGAATAATTACCCTCTCTACCCCCACCCACCAAAAAAAGTCCACACTCTAAAACCTAGTCTTTACATGGCAAAAAAAGATTTTGCAAATGTGATAAATTAGTGGCCTTACAATTCCACTCCTAGGGATCTACCCAAAGGACACAAAAACATTGATCCAAAAGAACTCCTGTACCCCTATGTTTACTGCAGCACTATTTACGATAAGTAAAAGCTGGAAACAACCCAAATGCCCAAAAATAGATGACTGGATCAAGAAGATGTGGTACATATACACCATGGAATATTACTCAGCAATCAAAAAGGATAAACTCATGTCATTCGCAGCAACATGGATGGAGCTAGAAGGAATTATGCTCAGTGAAATAAGCCAGAGGGAAAAAGAAAAATATCAGATGGTTTCACTTACAGCAGGAACATAGGGAAACCAGATAAGACATCAGTGTAAAAAAAATAACAGTACAAAACACAACAAAGCAAAAACAGACAGTTATAAATCAGAGACATCCTGCAGGGGAGGAGGAGGTAGAAGGGTGAGAGGGAGGGAGGGAGGGGCACAGGGGACTGAGGTGATGGTGCACAGGTGCCTTGGGGAAGGAAACTTTATGGGGACTACACCCTAGGGGGTGGGGGGAAGCAAATATTGTTTAAAAATGAACAATGATGTAAAAAATAAAATAAAATAAATTAATGGCCTTAATATGGGAGGATTATCCTGGATTATGAGGGAGGCAAGAAGCAGAGTTAGTAACAGAAGGCTGTGTGATGCCAGAAGCAGGAACAGAGAGAAGATGTCTCTGTTCTGGCTTTAAAGCTGGAGGAGATGACGACAGGCAAAGAAACATTTTCTAACCCAGAGTCTCTAAAAGGAACACTAAGGAACCTTGTAGACTTCTAACCTCCAGAATTAAACGATAATAAGTTTGTATTGTTTTAAGTGACTGAGTTTGTGGAAATCTGTTGCAGAAGCAATAGGAAACTCATACAGAGGTGTTTCATCCTTAAGAGATTAAGGCTTTGATCCAGCAATTCCACTCCTAGGTATTTACCCAAAGGACACAGAAACATCAATTCCAAAGAGCACCTGCACCCCTATGTTTATAGCAGCACTGTTTACAATAGCTAAGCTTTGGAAACAACCCAAATGCCCAAAAATAGATGACTGGATCAAGAAGATGTGGTACATATATACCATGGGATATTACTCAGCATTCAAAAAAGATAAACACATGCAATTTGCAGCAACATGGATGGCGCTGGAAGGGATCATGCTCAGCGAAATAAGCCAGAAAGAAAAAGAAAAATACCGGATGGTCTCACTCATAGCAGGAATCTAGAAAACCTAAATAAGGGACCAGGAAAATGAATAACTATAAGAAAGTGAAAATCAAAATCAACAAAAACTATGAAACAGAGACACTCTATGGAGAGTGGGGGGTAGGGAGGGGAGGCATTGGGGTCAAAATAAGGGGGCTGCAATTGTATGGGGAATATAAAAATAATATTTAAAAAAAAAAAAAGACTGCTTGAAACCAGCAGAAGGCTCCCCGCAGAGAACAAAAAAAAAAAAAAAAAAAAAGAGAGAGAGAGTAAGGCTTCCCCCTAGTTAATCAGATACCTCTGCTGGACAATAAACCATCATCAAAATCCATCTTTAGCAAAATAGCCATGGAAAAAACATTTACGGGAGACCTAGGGTATTATACTAAGTGCTGGAAAATCAGATGCCCTGCTTCAAGTACCTTAATTTCCCAGCAGAGTTTGACTTCACAGCACCTTCTCAGTAGCTGTAAGCCAAGCTTAAGGCAGCCTGGGGTAATAGACACAAACTGGCTTCTGGTCTCACATTTACTAGCAGCTCACGCTGATAACACAGGGCAGCCAGACTTCCTTCCTATGAGGTTAAGCAGAAGCTAAGCTGCAAAGCTAGAAGATCTGATTTTTAAAAAAATTTCTAGTTAACCCACCCACACCTTCTACCCCTCAATGTCAAAGAAGAAAAGGAAAGAATCAGTGACTCCACTGGGGTTGATGGAAGAACTGTCATGACGTGGGGTGGAATTACTAGAATCCAGTTCTTCTCACTGTAAAAGGCAGAAGGTTTAGGGTTTTAGTTTAATTTTTAAATCCATGAGCTAAACAGAGACTGTCCACTAAACTTTCTATCTTGCTTTATATCTGTGCTCATGCAACACAGAAATTGAACATTTCAATTTATTTCATTTTAATTCATCTAAATATCAAGAATCTCACTGTGCAGACAGCACAACAGATCTTACATTGGAGGGCGCACAGTCAAGGCTAGAAATAGAAAGTTGAAGTGGCAGGGATACATCATGTTGGCCCTGAACATTTTGCTTTCTTTTGTGAGGCCTTGACCTGTGCTACCCCAATCCCTGCCTTTAATGTTCTTCCAGCTGCTGGGGACCCCTACACTTCCTCCAGCTCATTTTGACATACTTTGATTTCTATGCAGCCCACACCTCCAGTCTACTCTGACCTCTGCTTTCTCTCTACTGCTAAGTTCTGATGGCCAATTCTATTTCTTGGACATTCATCTCAACTCCCAAGGATGTCCACCAGCCCATGGGGACACTGTCTCATTCCTCCTGTAGCCTGTCCTCACAAGGCACAATGGGGAGCATACAGGGGAGGTCTGGGAGACATGTATCATACTTGATGCCAAGACAGACTCTCTTCCTCCCCTGGCAGAAACAACCTGTGTGAAGGAATGCCCTGAGGGCTACTATAAGGACAGGCTCCAGTGTATCCCCTGCCACAGTTCTTGTAAGACATGTGAAGGACGACACAGCATGCAATGCCTCTCCTGCCAACCAGGCTGGTTCCAGCTGGGAAAGGAGTGCCTGCCCCAGTGCAGGGAAGGGTGAGATGCTCGTTACCCTTTTTTTCCCTCATTTAATCCCCAAACCACACCAGCTATCACTATTAGCAAACCCATTTTGCAGGTGAGGAAACAAAGTCTCAGAACACTTACATAATCAGTTTGAAGTCTCACTGCTAGTAAGGCACAAAGATGAGAGTTCAACAGTCTCTAAAGGGTTTCAGCCACTTCACAATAATGGAAGAGGAACCAAGAGTGACCCACTAAGATAATACAAAGGATCACATTGTCACTGGCAGGCAAAACTTCACTCATAATTCAAAGGCTCAGCAATCCCAGGTCACAAACAACACCTTCTTCCCTGGAGACTTCCAAGAACATGAACATAGGCTCTTTCTCTCTGCATTAGGATTCGTTCTAATCAGATTTCATACATAGGTCTAAGCAATATATGTGAAGCATTGATGTAACAAATGGGACAATTTCAGTCAAACGTCTCCATTTATATCTCGTTAGCTCTCCAACCTGCCTTGCCTCCATAAATGTACAAATGGAAGGTTTAGTTACCATAAGCAACCTGGATATACAGATGTATCCTTGTAAAAGCATTTCACAGATAAAACCTATTATTTCTTTTTTTACTAGGAAAAACTGTTTTTATGAGATGGCTGGTCAGCAGTACAGATAGAGGAGGATTTGACTTGGTCATTCTTCCCTCTACCCATGCCCAAGTCATGCCACGAAAAGAGAAAAAGTAATTGCATGCCTGTTGCTAACTCTCCCTTCCCAATTAGTAGTCTAAGGCACAAAGAGTTTCCAGAGACTCTAATCTTGGACATTCCCCAGATTCCTTCATCCAGGGTCATACATCTCTTTTCTTCACTTCTGTAGCAATGATTGCTGGTATCACTCATTTTAGTGCCATGCATGCCATAGTAGCCACGGTGCTAGCTTTCGACAAGTTAGTAAAACTGAAATAAATTTTAAAAAGTCTAAGGGGTCAATAGCTTTGCAACAGAGAAATAAAAGGCAAGCCTTCAGGTTTCTCGTGTAGCTTCCATGTGTGAGGGTCCAGAGATCCTTCACTTTCTTCTATGGTACTTGAAACTATTTCATTTACCTTCAAATTAATGCTCTGCTCTGTTACAGTGGAATTTAATGGGTAAGCTCAACGATATCCCCCACTCCACTTGCTGTTTCACCTTAAGTTGTCTAACATCTGTAAACTCGTCAGGTTGGACGATCGGTTACAAAATTCATAATTATCACTAATGTCAATTGTTACATCTAATGTGCCAGGTACTTTTCTACAACATTCTAAGTAATAATTTGCTTGATTTTAGGCACTAACACTGGCACCATCGTACAAATGAGAAATCTGAGATACAGATATGTGACTTGCCCAAGGTCACACAGTTCATACGTGTGTGGATGGATTTTGACTCCATGCAGATTTGTTCCGGGGGGCAAGCTCCTAATAAGCTCTGTTCTAGTGTCTCATTTTTAGCTTCAATATGATGAAATACTGTTCATGAATCTCTAACATACTGTCAGGCATATAGTAGAGACTTAACGAGTGGTGATTATTGCTGCTCGATCTCCAAATATCTTTTCAAAAAGAGGCCACATCTGTTATTATGTAAAAGTCAACATCAACTCATGTCACCACCTATTTCAAGATGTTTCTATTTTGAGAAATTAAGAGAACTGCTCAGGGGTACATTTTAAATGTTTTCTATTCCCTGTTCCCATTTAACACAACTCAAAACTTGTGTGAACATGCAGAAATAAGCAGAAGGCAAAGGCAGTGAGCAATTAGAGTGTTGCTACCCTGTGAGTTAAATTCATACCAGGTCACGCGTGTTATCAAACTTTATCCTCACAAGCAACAAGGGATTGCAATTCGCAATTTATAGAAAACAGAGCATCACTAGAATAATTAGTTTAACTAGCAAAGAACCTGATGAGTAAAGAGTATAAGGATTCCCAACTTATCAGTGAACACTGTGAGACTAACCAAGGTTTCCCCGCACACCCAACTTAGGAGCAAAGCTTAGTATTCACTCTTTACTTCCCCCCACTGATTCCAGATATTACGCAGAAAACTCCACTGGGCGGTGCGAGAGGTGCCACAAGACCTGCAAGACATGCCGGGGTCCGAGGCCCACAGATTGCCTGTCCTGTGATCCATTTTTCTTCCTGCTCCGCTCCCAGGGAGAGTGTCATCCCACCTGCCCAGAGCATTACTATGCAGACCAAGAAACGCAGGCGTGTGAGAGATGCCACCCGATCTGTGACAAATGCAAAGGTGAGGTGTCCTTCCTGCTCGGCCGCTCTCTAGTCACTCTTCTCACTTGGCAAGCCCGTTGGCAATGCAGCATCAGCGCCCTCTGTTTTCTCAGCTTCTACATTTGTCCTCTATCCTGAGCTGCCCCTGTCCATCCTGAGCTGCCCTATATTGCACGGCTGCCCCTCAGGTCTCCCATCCTTCAAACCCAACTAGAATATCTCTAATTGGAAGCCTCAAATTTGAAATGTAGCTGCACTATTCTCCAGTCTACCTCACTCCATTCCTAGACCACTTTTTCCTGTGTTGCCCATCTTGGTGAATAGCTCCCCCAAGTAGCCAGTGGCCTGAGACACTAACCAGGACATTACCTTCCACCCTGCTCTCAACTCCCAACATTCAATTTGTCCTCGAGTCTTGTCAAATCTACCTTTAAAAAAAAAAAAAACAAAAACAAAAACAAAATCTACCCTTAGACATCTGCTAAATGCACCCTCCCCTCCTGGTATCTTAGTCTCACTGTCTGTGTTTCGACTCATCTTTCCTTGCCTGAATTATTCACCAGTTTCTTAATTGGTCTCCTGCCTCCAGTATTAGCGCTAGCTAACTGTCGAGGCAGGGAGGGACGGAGCACAGGGTCTCTATGACCCAAACAGACAGGGAAAGGAGAGTCCTGCAGCCCTCTGTGGCTTTTTCAGGCTTTAACTGAGTTTACCGGGTACACGGCAGGCAGGGGTGCTTGCAGGCCTCCCAGCCCCAAGAGAATCTTCACTCTTTCTGGGCTCTCTGGTGTTCTCTCATGGCCCTGCTGTTCTGTTCCTCTAGCATCCCATGACATCACCCTTATGAGCCCCATTTCAGCCCAGGTGTACCCACCTACATAGGCCCACACCCCACTCCAGGTGCCCCCCATCAGGCATGCGTTCAGGACCGCAGGGATCCATCATCAACCCTAAGGCCGGAGGGCAGAAAAGCCTGACAATAATTCACCCAACAATAACCAACCACTTCTCTACTATGTTCCCAGACTGATACATGATACATATTATAAACACCTCCTCTGCTTAAAAGTGACTCTCCATTCATTTTTTGGATAAAATCTTAAACCAGCAGCCTTGCATATCATGCTCTTAAAGTGGCACTCTCCCCTTATCTCCAACCACATCGCCCCCCAATTCTCTAATTCAGGAATAATTAGTAACTGAACACCTGAGCCAACCTTGCCCCGTTTCCCTCTAGTACATTCTCTCCAGCCTGCTTAGCCTGGCTATTCTGTCTGATGCATTAGAATCAGCATCTCCTCTAGAAATCCTTCTCTGACCACCCCCCTTCTGTGTTCCCTTGTACTCTGCATTCACTCGTTCATTTATTTACTTAACAAACATTTACCCAGCAGATGCTCCAAACAATGTCCACACAACTGTGGACGAGACAGAGGGCAAATTTTGTAATTCTTTGGTCTCAGTCTCCTCTAGACTGAGTTCCTCAAAAGGTAAAAATAATGTCTTACCTTTGTGAGTTGCCTCAAGGCCACCTCAGGGCAGATGGTGGCTGGGAGGCTTCGCCTGGGTCTTTGGGGACCCAGTGCACTTGGGCAGGCACAGCAGTGGCCTAGGAAGCAGGTGGAGGCCCACCAGGACAGTGGCTACCATAGTTCACCACACATCTGAGGCAACAGAGCTGTCCCCTTCCTGCAGTCTCTGCCTCAAGTCCATGACAAAGGTGACCATGAGCCAGCCCTCCAACAGAGGAAACTGTCCAGGATGTTCATACCCAACTAGGAGGTAGTGGAAGAGCTCACAAGCCTGGTGCACAATCACCGGTTCTCCACCCTGGAATTTCCAAGAGCACCTTGGTCTTATAAAAGTCTGGTGCAGACTTCCCTGCCCTTCCTCCACTGCAAGAACACTAAGCCCAGAAGTTTTCCCAACGGCGTCAATGTGCACGCAGCAGCGTTCAAAATCAATTTTCCTGGCTGCGGCGGCTTCCTTCCACAATTTGACAAGAATTTGAACAAAACAACTGCACAGAAAGAAGCCAGACACAATTCCTCTGGAGAAGCTGCCCCACAAACGCCAAGGGAAGGAGTTACTCAAAGAAGCCCCGCAAGGTTCTCAACAATGCATATGAGAAGTTTTGGCTAAATACAGAAGATGGAGATCCCCGTGCTGGGCCATACCTGGAGGAGATGACACGGAACATCCACGCCTTCAGTTTCAGGGATCACTTGAACATGGAAGCTTAGGTGCGTCTGGTAGAACACTGGCATCACTCAAGCTCCGAGGGTCTGATCCTGGATGAAGCTTAAGCACAAAGGGGCGCACCACAGGGCTGCAAAGTGGAGGTTTCTTTTGATTCCACCAACCAATTGAGCGATGTCTCATTAAGGAGGCAGCTTGAGAGGCAGATACTTAAGAGGCTGGATCAACAAAAAGGGCGTGATGGAGGGGCAGGAAGCACCTGAGGGAAAGGCAGAAAACAAAGGGAAAGAAACAGAAAGAACTAGAAAATCAGAGTGAGAAAAAGAGAGAAGCTTCTCAAGCAGGATCTTGAATTCTACTGGAATCAGACAAAGCTCCAGAAGCTACATGCAAAAAAGCAGAAACAGCTACAGAGGGAAAAATAAACTAAAGAGTAGTACTAGTGTGAGCTCAGGCCTGTCCATCAGGCTAACTGCAGAGCAGCTGGGAAGAGCCACACTGTGGAGTCAGGTGTGGTCACTCTAGATCGTCAGCCTGCTGCAGGCCGCATGCTCCGTGCCACCGCGTGTGCGTCTCTGAACACTGAGTCACTGTCACAACCTCCCCTTTCCTTGGATGGCTGTGCCCAAACCTAAAATATATGTGTGTGTGTGTGTGTGTGTGTGTGTGTGTGTGTGTGTGTGTGTGTGTGTCTTAATACCAGGGGCTGGGAGTAGAGGCAGTGGGAGAACAGGACTTTAGGAGAATGCTCAGTAAACAACTTTCTGTTTTGAGAGAAACACTCAGTAACATAAACATTAAAATTACTCTCAGGCACAAGCCCTTGATCTAGTGGACAATGAGCTAACCTGGAGCACTCAGGTGCTACTGCTACCGGCCCTGATCTTCTTTTATGCATCTCACAGCCTGGAGCGTCAGCACTCTGCATGGAAATATAATGCAAGCCGTACAAGTAACTTTAAGCTTTTTAGTAGTCACATTAAAAAGTAAAAATGGACGGGTAAAATTAACTTTAATATTTTTTATTTGGCTACTGTATCCAAAATGTTGACATTAATCAACATAATCAACATTTACATTTTTTTCATACTGTCTTTGAGATCTGATGTTTATTTTACATGGACTGCGCAATTCGAGCTGCTCAGTAGCCACATGTGGCTTGTGGCCAAGGCACTGGAGGGTATATTTCTAATATAGAACAATGGTTTCCAACCTTTGAAAGAATAAATTTTCAAACACACTGCATTTAAGTAATCAATGATGTTGTGGCAATTTCCCAGAGAAATCAGGTGGCACTCAGAGAAGTAGAGAGAGAGATTTAATTACCACACAGGCAGGCTCAGTGAGATAGCTCCCAAAAGGCTGAGCACCCAAGTGCAAAAATGGCAGGGTTTTATACAGTTTGCATAAGGAAACTTGCTAGCCCATCCATCATAGCATAAGCATTCTCTATTGTTCAGGAAGGGGGTCAAGGTAGCCATGGCTACCACTAGGGACAGGCAGTGCAGTACACCCAGCAACTTCTCTGCTCCAGCAAGCAGTAGAATCAAAGCAGCACACTCCCCCAAGCAGCAGACTTGGGAAACTTCCTGCTTCAATGTGTTCTCTTTTTATTTATTTTTTTTTTCCATTCCAGAGGCTCATATAGTTGGCACTGAAAACTTCTAATCAGAATAAGACAACAGATGAGAGAACACCTTGAATTGGGGGTGGGTGGGAAGGTGGTGGAAAGTTGGCATTGTTGTTAACCGTATCATGGCAAATGTTGAATTTTTGTTGGCTTTTTGTTTTGAAAAGTTGAAGGTATCCCTGATTACTACATTCCTAGCTGTGTGGCACTTTAATTTCAATTGGATTGCCAGGTAAAACATAGCAGGTCCTAAAGTAAAACTGTTTTGTTCAACGTTGTTTCATATAATTTTTTTAAAAGATTTATTTATACAAGCACTGGGTACAGTCAGAAGTGCGGGAGGGTGAGAGAATTCACCAGAGCCCGAGGGGAGAGCAGAGCAGGCAGACTGACGAAGTACACTGCTGAGGGGAGCAGTGGGCTGCAGGAGAGGTCTACGGGCCATGTGGGACCCTCAACCGGTGGCCCAGGATCAAACCGGCACTGCAGAGTCTGCTGGCAACTTCGCAACCCAGCGCTCAACTGCTGCGCCACCAGGGAGGCCCTCATAAAATGTTGATGAAGAAAAAAAAAATCAGTTCTCTGCCAGGGCCATTGTCTGTGTGGATTTTTGCACTGTGTGGACTGTTTGCACATTCTCCCCATGTCTGCATGGGTTTTCTCCAGTACTCTGATTCCTTCCAAATCCCATAGCTGTGCACAGTAAAGGTTCAGTGCCATGTCTAAATTGTCCCAGTCTGAGAGAGAGAGAGTGTGTGTGTGTGTGTGTGTGTATGTCTGTGAGAGAGAGAGAGACAGAGAGAGATGCACCCTGGGATAAGTGGGTGTCCTTTCCAGGTTTGGTTCCTGCCTTGTGTCCTCAGTTGTGGGAATGAATCCGTGATCCACAACCCTGATAGGAAAAAGTGGGTTGGAGGATGAATGAATACAAATTATTGTTTCAAGTTTTTGAATCTTTATTTAGAAATTTGGTGAAATTTTTGTGTCCAGAAATGTGCCTTAGGAAATAAACTCTCGCTTATATCAATTAGCCTATGATAAAATTGGCTTCATTATGCATTTCGCTTAAAGTCTCAGATTAAACATGAGAACTTACTGTACTGTATTTTGTTAAACATGAGAACTTACTGTACTCTATTTTGATTTGCTAGATCTGATAACCCTAAGTCCTAGCACAGTACAGCGGGTTT